CAAAATAACAAAAGGAGCGTCCAGACTAAATCATCAGTGACAAAAAGCCCCAGGGCTGGCACTTCCAGGATCATTTCTGCTGGCCATACAGCGTCTCTAGGTGCTGAGCTTCTTGAAGATTTTCTGGTTCCTTCATTTATTCCCTCCTCTGTTAAGTTGCTCACAGTAGTTTGAACTTCAGAAACACAAGCTTTGAAAAGGTGTTGGGAAGGTCCCGACAGCAGATCTAATCCAGGCTCATCGATGTCTTGAGCTGCTCCTAGGGCAGTTACAGCAGGTCTCCCGAGACTGGAACTGGGCTGGAGCAGAGCAGCCACCCCTTGCTGTCAGTGACGTTCCGTGAAGATGTTTTGAGCCTCCGCACTTCCTGACCTGGGCTCACTTTATCATACACGTTCCACGTCTCTCTTGGCTGCTCGCAGGTCTCACTGGAAACAGTGAGTCTCCCCAGCACCACTCAGTTCGTTGCCATACACAGTTCTGGGAAAAAAACCTTGGGCCTCTTTCTTGTAAGCAGGAACCTGAAAAGCCACCTTGTTCTTTCTTCCCTCGCAGCCAGCCTCGGTGATGCCAGTCTGATGTGGTAGAGAAGAGCAAGAGAGGGAGGACCACGAGGATGAGGTGGGAGCGGTCTGTGCCGCTCCTGGGACTGCTGCTGTGCGTGGGTGAGTACAGCCGGCCAGAGCCCCGGCGACTTGAAGGGGGGCTGCCCGGGGGCTGCCGAGGAGAAAGCGAAGGAGCGTGCTGCTCCTTGTGCAAAGTGCCCGCAGCCACATCTTCTGCAACTGGCATGTACAGTGCCTGTGGAGCTGCTGGTCCGAGGAGTGAGCGTTCCCTGCAGAGTGAAGGCTGCAGGGGCAGAGAAACGGGAATCCAGCCCTCGTCATTAACTTCAGTTCAGATTCGCTGGGATGCGGGGTTGGCATGGGGAGGGGTAGCGATTCCCATGTTACGGGTTTGAACTGACCAGCGTTTATAAAGCTGCTTTAGGATGAGGTGCAGAGTATCTGTAAAGACTAAAAAGAAGCTGGTAGCTATGAGAGATAAGCTTGAAAGATAATGAAAAGATACTACAATAAGACTACAGCTGCTTTGCCAACGTGCTGCAAATACCAACGGCTATTCTCTGAGAAGCCTGAAAACATTTGGGTTAGCAATGGCTTGTTCTTCTTCCAAATTTAAATTAATCCTATAGAAAGAAAAAAAATATCAGGTCACCTTCTCTCCAGCCATGTCCTATGCCTGTGGAACTTCAAATCTAGAGTCTTCAATCTACTCCAGCTCCAGATACTTCAGTGGAGCTACTTGTTTCCTACCAAGAGAGAAAAAGCACACAGATAAACGGCTTTGTACTGCAAAGAGAACGCTCTTGCAGAGGACAGCAGTTCTTACTGCAGAAACCAGGCATGATTTTCCAGCAGGCATGATAATAAAGCAAAATTGTGTGTACAGTCTGCAATAACCCTTTTTCTAAACTAGGTGAGAAAACTCTTTAAATTTCTGTTCTGTTAGTCTGTGTTAAAAATGGCGTCCAAAGAGAGAGGCTTCATTTCAAAACATCGCATCAGAGCTAACAGAGTGCTTCTGATGCCTTTGTCACGAACATAGGAGTGTAAACGTCTCTTTCAAGCAGCTGAGTTCAGAAAGGGTATCCTTGAAGTAGGAAAGGTCTATGATATCCGTAGCTAAACTACTTAATGTGTTTTTATTCTTTCTTTTTTAGCTGGCACCACAGCTCAGCAGGGTAAGTGTATTTTACCAGCATTCTTAAATATTTAGTATGATTTAAAAAAAGACCAACTTTGCTTCTCAAGTGAGGATGAAAAGTCAAACAGAAATAATCGAATTATGGAGATATTGTAGGATAGGAAAAATTCCCAGTTCATTAATTGTTAGTGACCTCACTGATTTGAAAAAGTGGCTGTCATGAGTTGTCCCTCATTATTCCTCGTGATCCCCAAGCAGGGCTGGGCATTTTCCAACAGCACCAGGCAGTAAGGTAAGAGGACGCTGATTTGTTAACGCTTCTTATTCTCTCCTTTACAGATGATACTGAAGCACAGGAGGGTAAGTGTATTTTACCAGCATTTTTAACTATTGAGCAGGCACGGGGAATTTACATTACACCATGAAATCAAAGCGTTTGCAGAGCAAACCGTCATGGTGAGATCAGAGGTGGGCAGGGAAGCCTGCCCAGAAGTCCTTTGTAACACTTAGTTTCCCTTTTCCCTGGCCCATCTTCCAATAAAGAATTCCAGGTGGAGATTTCCGGAACCACGGTGACACTCACATGTCCCTTGGATGAAGAGAGCATAGTCTGGAGCTTAACTGAGCCAAAACCAGCCAGCAATGAGAGGAAGTACGTTATAGAGAATCACGACAGCTCTCCCATCACCGTGAGTTGTTCGGCAGGCAATAAGAAGTATGAAATGTACCTGAATGCCAGAGGTGAGTGACAAAGTGCTCGGTCTGTGGGTAAAGATAAAGCCTACACGTGACAGTGACAGGTATTGGGAGCTGAGACCTGATTTTCAGTGCTGCTGGGGCCCTTCCCACTCTGTGTGGGCAGTAAAAGAGTCCAGGAGCACATTGCTGGCAAAAGGACTCTCCCTGCTCTCCGTGCTTTTCCCTGCCACCGTCCTCAGGCTGGTTGCATGTCAACGTTTCCCACATCTTGCCATGCCACAAGGCAAGAGTAATGTCTGTCACAAAGGCCAGAGGCATTTCGTGTCATGCAGAGATAGGTCCTTCCACCCAGAACTGCAGCTTTTCTCTAGCACCAAGCAGAGGAGCGAAGCCCGGACTTTCCTTGCGGGAGAGGAAGGGTGCCCGTCTCTGAACGCCTTCACCTCTCCTCCCGGCAGTGTGCGCCAACTGCGAGGAGCTGGATGCCTTGGCAGTGACGGGGATCATCACTGCGGACCTCCTCATCACCTTCGGGGTGCTGATTCTGGTCTATTACTTCAGCAAAGACAGGAAGGGGAGAGCAGGCGCTACTGCTGGCGGCCGGCCGCGAGGTAAGAGCTGTTTCGCACGTCTCTGCTCTCCACCATGTCCGCTAAGCACTAAATTAAGCTCTTGCCCCTTCTGAGTGACGAAGCCCCCGCTGCTCCCCCCAAGCCTCCAAGACCTTGCCAAAAAATGATGATGTGCTCGTGCCTGTGCAGCTTGCTGAGGCGGAAGAGTATAGATCTGGTATCCACACCATGGGGCTGTAGCCTGAGCCTGCACCTTCTTGTTTTCGAGTGTTTCTTCACAACCAGGAAAGCTAAAAAAATTTTCCCCTTTCTAAAAGTAACCTGACTTCTTCCTAATTTTTTTCCCTTCTTCCAGTAAGGTCTCCTGCCTGCAGCAGTTGGGTCTTTAAAAGCTCTAAGCCCATTCTAAAGTCCTACGAGCTGACCCAGGGGATGCACAACCCTGGGATCATCTCCATGGAAGTCCCTCAGGCTGTGTTGTAGGAATCATCACCAAGAGTGACCTCTCTTTGCCTCTGTTGCAGGTCAGAAGACGCAGCGTCCTCCCCCCGTTCCAAACCCGGACTATGAGGTACGGAGAAGCTGCATTTTTTCTCCTCTCTCTTTGCTGGTTGGGGAGGGCTAGCCAGAGCTGGGAATCCGTTGCAGTTTTCCTTTTTGATCCTTTGAAGAAGCATCCAGTCAACCTCTAAGCTTTCCCCAGGGTGGAGGAAAAAGGTGGGGATGGTGGAGCTCCTTCTCCCGGTGCTGGCCCCGGGAGCTGGGAGCAGAACTGCAGCTTCTGCACACTACCGGAGCAGCACCACAGCTGCTCTCTATGTTGTAATTTTCTCTGGACCAAGACCCTGGTGTTTGAGGGTGTGTTAATAAGGATTCCTGAACTAACGTCTCTGCCGTTCCCACAGCCCATCCGGAAAGGCCAGCGGGAGGTGTACGCCGGCCTGGAATCCAGGGGCTTCTGAAATTCCCACAGAGGACAGGCTGGAGAGCAGCAGCGGAGGGGCTGAGCGCTTCTGCCCAGCTCCGTGTGAGTTCCCTGCTGCAGTCTGGGCGGCTGCACAGGACAGGCGCCCTGCTGCCATCCGCTGTCCCACCCTGGCCTCTTCCTGCAGCCTTCGGTTTGACATTAGGGAAAAGAAACAAACGAGCACATTGGCAAGAGAAGTTCTCCTAATTAAAGGACTGCAGCCTCACTCGGGGTTCCTCACCTCCTTTACCCTCAAACTTCACTCTCTGCTCAGTTGCATGCTCTGGTTTTCCCTCCCATTTAATTTCCACCCCGTGTACCTCCACTTGCTCCCCATGCCTCCCTGGGTAGCTAGTGGGCAGAGCGTGGGTCCTTCTCCGAGCGATGGCCTCTGACCTTGTCCTGCTCTCGTATGAATAGCCTATCTTCATTTTGCTCCCCAGGATTGTAACGAAAGGAACATGTGAAAGCTGTAATGTATTAATAAAGTGAGAGACAGCACACACAGGCATGCATCAGACAAGATTTCCCCTGTGGTTTTGTCTCTGTTAAATAAAAACAGTTTTCGTTACCCAGGGGAGTTCCTGGGTCAGGAGTAGTTGGAGACAGCAAGAGCTGCTGTGGTCCCTGTTGACCCACCTTGCAGCAGCCTGCGAGGTGTCTGGGAGCAGAGTGCACCAGGATGGGGGGAGAGAATGACACATAGGAAAACGCCCTGCCACACCCATGAGAGGGGACCTGTGACCAGGGCAGGGGCCAACAGGAGCTGGGGATGGGGGAAGTGACATAGCTGAGGTGCCACGCACTCAACATCCAGATTTTACATCTGCCTGACTGTTACAGCTGCAGTTTCCAAAGCAGCAGCAATGGGACAGGGAGTAACTTAAGGGCCCAGGAGATGCTGTGATGCCTGGGAACATTTCTGGTTCTGAGTGAGCCACATTTCTGTTGCTCTGCTGAGCTCTGAAGATAGGAAACAGCAGCAGTGATGGGGCCTGGGGGCGGTTTAACCCTTGAGCTTGAGCATGGGGAGAGGAACACCCAGCCAGTTTCATGGCTCGGATTGCTGTGCTTACCCTGCAGGATGTGGTTTTAAAGGCAGCACAGCTGGGTTTACCATACAAGGCACTAAACATCTAGAAGAGAGATTGCAAGATACAAAGAGCACGAACCCCATGCAGCTCTAAAACCACTCTGGGCCATGTTCTCAGCTCCTGCAAAAGTTCCCTGCTCCAGGGACACTTGCTCAGCCCAGCCATACAGCCCATTGCCATGAATGGGTTGGGAGAAGCTCGGACCACTCTGCATGTACAAGATCTAAATTTTGCTTCAAGCTACACCCTGGTGCTTCTGCCACCATTTATGGGACTGTATGTTTGCCTACTGTTTTCCCCAACCAGCGCCATCCCACGCTCTGCTTATCGCAGCGGGGATCAGCGCCCACCGAGTGACAACATCTCTCTGCCTCTGTGCTTACCTGCACTACAGAAATATTTCTTTGACCTCCTAAGGGTGAGGTGCTGAGGAGCTTCCCTCAAATAGACGAGCTGTAAATGTTGCCTGTGCTGGCTCTTCGATTTGTGCAGAGTATAGCCACCCACTCTGCCCTGAGTTTCTCCTGCTCTTTGGGTGTGGTTAGCCACCTTTGCTCATTGCTTTGAGACCTGATGGTGATGCAAATACTATGAACTGGGCAGTCTACCGGTCACTTTTTTTATAAGGTCCTACCCAGACGGCTTTGCAGCCCAAAGGCGGGTATTCGCATATTCTACCAGCAATGGCCATATCGGGCTCAGCCTTCCCTAGAGCAGGTTAGAGCAGAAAAACCACTACGACATTCCTCTGCTCCTGTGAAGAGCAAAACGCTGTCGCATAAAGAGCTGACGCGGTAGGAAAACAAGCAAGGCTGATCACACTCTGATTCCTGTAAGGGCATGTGGGGTGCACCCACAGCTTTGCCCAGCCTACGTGTTGTTTGCTGTGTCAGATGTGTCACAGATTCGTGGCCAGTTTTTATTGTTAACTCTTTTGGAGTTCACTTTGTACCACTGAGTCACAAGGCAATTCACAGCCTGGTGCTCTCTAACGCCCATCGCCCCAGGTTCTTAGAAAAGCAGGAAAACACAACCTACAGGTGTGTGCAACTGGCACACAGAGGGTGACCTGCTTTCTGGGGTTTCTAACGCTAGCTGATCCTGTCTGTTATCACCCTCCCTCTTTGGCCATAGTCAGACCACGTTAGCTGTTTCTGCTCAGAGCTGGGGAGCAGGGACCTTGCCAGGAGGAGATGGGTTGGCGTGGGGAGACCCGGCGCTGCTCCGTGCCTGGAAATGTGCTTGAGCTGGGAAGGGCTCTGAAAGTTTGCTCAACTGCATCCTGTACTCAGCACACTGGGATTGTGAGCCTGAAAGAGGGGTTCCCAAATGCCCCACAAAAGATCCCTGGCCTGAGCACAAAGGTGAGTCGCTCTCCGGTGGGATGCAGAGGCAGAGGACGGTGAGGAAGTCTCCCAAGAATATCAGAGAAGCGGGGACTGTGGACTGCCTCTGGCCTTCCCTGCCCAGCCAACTCTGCTACCACGTGTTTTGCAGCATCTTTGCTGTTTCCATTTCCTCTTTGGGCCCAGCTTCTGTGAGCTCCTCTGGGGAGCCAGCACAGCTTGCTGCCTTGTTCATGCTTTGCTCCCCTAAGCGCAGAAGCAACTTTCAGGCTGCCTAGGTGCCAGGGACCTGGCAAGCCTCTGTGGTTTGGAGACTGCGATTAGATACCAAGCCCCATGCTTGCAGAGCAAACATCCTCCTGTCCTCCCTCGTGCCAGCCTCCCAGCTCTGTCCAGGGGACTGAGGCACTTTGCAGGGGTGACGCAGACCCTGCTGAGTGTTGCCATACTCCTGGCAGCCCTGCTCCCCATTCTGGAAAGGGATTTAAATGAGACAAAGGCTCTGCTACTGTCAGGGTGGTAACCCTCTCTTTTCACAAGGTCTGCCACGCCCAGCTTCTGCAACGGACCAGAACATCATCTGGATCCTGGCACAGAGAGGTGACCCAGCCATGGGCACCTACCTGCACTGACCGAGCAGTGTCCTACCGGGACAGGGAGGAGCCTCACGGCTCTGCAGGAATCCCAGCGGATCACGTCCAGCGTGCACCTTCCCCGGCAACTGCACGGTTCCCTGGGCCTCAGCACAACCAAGGGAGCAGGGAGGCTGTGGGATAGGCTTGTCTTTAATGATACAGGAGTGCAAGAGGTCATGGAAAGAGCAGAGGGCTACAAGCAGCCCGTCCCGGCAAGAAGCCAGAGGGCTCTCTAGGCAAAAACCTGCACTGTCTCCTGGCAGCAGCAAGCTCAGAAAGGCAGTGCCAGGGCAGGGTACCGACGAGCGCTGGCGGTGGCTTGGCTGTAATATCACTCCCGGCGTGAAGGAGTCACAGGCCTCAGCATCTTCCCATTTCACCTGCGGGCCTTGGCAGGTGCCAGCCGGCTGTACTGGCCATCGTCCCGCTCGCCAAGCGGCTAGGAGGAAAAAAGATGAGATGAGCTACAACTGTCCAGCCCTGGGAAAGAGGGTACAGGGTAAGCTGGCCCAAGCTTTTGGCAAGCCTTCCCTCCCTGCGGCGTGAAGGAGTCACAGGCCTCAGCATCTTCCCATTTCACCTGCGGGCCTTGGCAGGTGCCAGCCGGCTGTACTGGCCATCGTCCCGCTCGCCAAGCGGCTAGGAGGAAAAAAGATGAGATGAGCTACAACTGTCCAGCCCTGGGAAAGAGGGTACAGGGTAAGCTGGCCCAAGCTTTTGGCAAGCCTTCCCTCCCTGCACATGGAGCTTACCAATGCCAGAGAATAAGAAAGGAGCTCGCCCCATCCTCTGGGTCACACCCAAGGGGAGGTGGCTGGGAACACCCCAGCAGAGAGCAATCTCCAGCATGGCTCAATGCCTTGAGGCATTGATTATCCCCCAGCAGCTCTGCTGTCCTGGACACGCAGCCCCACACCGCACAGAAGTGCTGAAGCCCACGCACACACGTACATGCCCATACTCACCTGGTAGAGCTGCTCGTTGGCAATCAGGTTCTGCCTGTCAGAAGCTAAATAAAGAAAGAAGGTGGTCAAGGATCACAGACAACATGGTGAACATTTACAAACAAACCCAAGCGGCCAGCTGCTTTCAGCCCTGTACTTTTACTTCCTCTGGGAGGCTCAGTGGAAAGCCCCTACAAGACCCCAGATGTTTCTGTGCCACCAGCTGCTGTCCCTGGGATGATGTTTTGGTGAACCTTGTGCATCTGATAGCTTCTCCTAGGAAGCTGAGCTAGGGGCAGGAAGGGTACAGGGAGAGCTCACACGGATCCCTACCCTAGACATGCTGTGGGCTGGCTGCTGCCTACAGCTTGCAGTAACTGCGCTCTCCCTAGGGACCAGGCAGCTCCTAGAGATGCCCAAGCTCTTCCCATCCCCACCCACGGGCAGCCAGTGGGGCTCTCCCCTCACCTCGTGACATGCGTCCCTTGTCCTGGCCAGTGATGCAATACACAGCAACCGCCAAGAAGACGGTGGCAACAACATCAGCGACCACGATCCCCGAGATGGTGGGAGCATCCACTTCGATGCAGTTCTGGCACACTGGAAGCCCAAAAGGACACAGACACTGAAAGCACGGCCACGACCAGAACCCTGCCCCTTGCCCACCTCTGCCCTGCTGCTGGGGTCAGTCTGAGCCCAAAGCGCTCAGCCAGCTCTGCCAGTCCAGGCAGGCTTCAGTCCCAGGGCGAGATAAGTTTGGCTCGACCCAAGGCAGTGCTGCAAGCTGCCACATGTCCCCAGCACTCAGGGCAGGCCACAGCAGGGCCAGCGAGTGGCTAGCAGTAAGGTAGCAGGAGTTCCAGGCTATGGCACCAAACTAGGCTGTAGAGCTCCCCTGGGAACACCACATGCAGGGGAATGTGCAGCTTGGCTGTTCCCAAGGGAAACCTAGCACAGGTACTTCCAGAAACTGGTGGAACCACCCTCAAACTCTGAGAAATCAGTAGTTCCCTCAAAAATTTGCTTAGGTAAAAACTCCAGGCAGTTCTAGCTCTAGAAACCAGGTTTGCGACACTTACTTCGATAGTGCAACTGGAGGGGCGGACTTCTCTTTCCATTTTCCAGTTCACATGTGTACACGCCTCTGGGATCATCGTAAATTGTGCCCAAGTCCAGCACCGTTGTGTTTGAGATCTTACTCCCGTCTTTCAGCCACGTGACTTGACTTTGGCCGCCTGTTACACACTGCAGGAATACCTTCCCACTAGCTTCTTTCACAGTTACCTTCTGTCCTGTAACAACAAAAGAGAGCAGAGAGCATCACAGCTGAGCTTGTAACCCTCACAGCGGTGCAGAGCTCCGAAGCCTCATTCACGGAGACGGCTGCTGTAGAGAGCATCCCATTAGGCTGTCCCCTGAGCTGCAGAAAGGACACTGCAAACAAAAAGCTCTGAAAGAAGCAGACTGCCCAGCCGAAGAGCAGTCCAGTGTGCAGCAGATAGTTACACTAATGCAGGTCTGGGTAGCTTAGAGATCCAAACTCCCTTAGAGTGAAAATTAACTGGAACTAAGCATCTACCTGGGCTCTCCATGCAGGCTGTAGGTGCACAACCCTCATCCCGCATTGGTATTGAAATGCAACTTCACTGAGATACATTTCAACAGAAAGCAAAACGTTTCTGCCAGCAGGGACAGGAATGGAGCCTAAACAGGGAGGCAAAAATCCACTTTTTTTTTTTTTCCTACTCAATAGCAAAAAAAAATTTTTAGGGAAAAACATGTGAAACACTGTACAGAATTGTTTCCTTGACCCAAAGGCATCACCTTCAGAGCCTGCAAAAAGAGAGCAAATTTTCTGCCTTATTTGCTGAGCACTGGAGCACAACAGCCTCTCCTGCTTGCGTATTCGTGCCAGGTACAAAGCCCACGATTCCTTTGGCCACAGTACTGCGAAGTCCAACTTCACGTGCTCTGTTTGCACGGCACGACCCCCGTCTCAGCCATGGGGCACAGCACCGCACTGCACCGCAGCAGCGGCTGACACCCAGGGACTTACCTCGGACACCCCAGCTGGCCACGGCCAGGCTGGTGAGGAGCACCCAGGCGCCCAGGGCCCCTCTCCTCCACATGGCGCAAGCGGTGGCGGCTCTTTGCCTCGCTCAGGAGAGGATGCAGAGAGAGCTCCTCACCACGTCGCACCACCCGCCCCGAGATCT